TCAATTTTTAAAATTTTCACCTCTCCGCCAAAACTTATCTAACCCGTGAGTTATTGCACACGTATACCCCCGAAGGTGTCCTCTACAAACTGGCAAAGTTTGAGGGTATGTTTGGGGGAGAGGGTACCCCCCCCCTTAAACAGTTCAATGGTCAAATTTACATACCCGGCTGTTTTTGTATCGGCCAAATATTTTCCTCCGTGAATTGTTTTCGGAATAAATGTAATATCTGTCGAGCCTATATGACCATTTTCTAGATGTGCCTGACACATTTCAGCTAATAACTGAATGCCAGTTAAATGTTGTGGCCTTAATCCACCTTGTGCACGACCTGTCGATCAAATATTTAACAACCATAAGACAACCGTCTGAGTATCAAAAGAATTTTACCTAACCAGCACGAATTTTAATAACACGTATTGGCTGTTGTAATAAAGCACTTAATGCTGTTGAATTACGTAATATTTGACCACCCTAGAAATGTTTTTCATAGACATACGAAGACAAAATTTATTCCTTCTTACGCCTTCGATATAAGATCCATCAATAGTCACTATTGGTTCACTACTATTGGCCATGTCCACTAAAAACGTTGATCTACAAATAAAAATCGACTCAGACGTGCAGTTTTACTACGTCAGAAATCATTTTAAACGTTTTTTTATTTTTCTACTCTTTTTTTTTGACTACACATATCACATAGATTCTTATACATTTGTGTAAAATTGTGCAATTTACTTAAATTTTGCTAACAGTCTCCCGAAATCAATGTCCCAATATGATATTATTCATGAATTACTTCATTATTCTGTTTTTCTGCACGTTGAGTAATTACAAACAACAAGTTCACTGACAAATTTTTTACTGATATTTTTCTCTCTTACCCAACTGTTCGATTATTTTTCGTTCTTTTAACTAAACGTGTTAGCTGTTTGACTAGAGAGAGTTTTTGAAATTGATGTTTTAGCAAGAATTGTGACAAATCAGATATCATTTTATGAAGATAAGAGATAATAATTTTGCGAGTGCATCTGAAAGACAGAGATAATATTCTTCAAGTGGATAAGTACATTGATTTTATGTGCCTTTCAGACTTGTTTACTCAATACTATTTACTATTAATAATATATATAGAGAGAGCTGGTTATCAATATCCTAATTTATTCTCGAATTTATTAGGATTTACAAAAACGGCTTTAAATCGCTGCAGATTGAAGCGGTTCCCGGAAACATACGTCTTTTGTATAGACAAAAAATGTCGAATAAATTCGACAATTAGTGAAAAGTGTAAGAATTAGCTTGTTCTGTCAATCAGAAACATTTGAGTTTCAGTTTGAAAAAGGTTTCATATCTTGAGATGGTTATGTTTTATTCTGAGGATTATAAAAATCATCAAAAGCAAAAAAAGAAAATGATACAAAAAAATATCGAGAGTAAGTAAATAAAAAAATATACGTAAGACATAATATTGGACAGATCATAATTTTTAAACATACGTTCATTTTTCTAACTACAATCATTGCGTTTGTTCATTTTTGTTGCTGGTGGGTCAATAAATTCAAATTCTTATCATTGTAGCAATATATCACGAATGAATTGATGAATATCATTCAATGTATCGTCCAGTTAACAGCGATTAAAAATCAGGTAAACGTAAGCGAATCGTAGTCATTGTTTTCAAGACGAACCTAAACATTCCAAAAAACTTATAGTGTGCATACAAGGGAAAAGGAATGTCCTTGCGATCGAAATAAGAGTCTTTTTGACCTCTAAATTACTACATTCATCCTATTCTACCAGTTTTCAGAAATATCTGCTGGAATCATCAAGATTAAAGTTATTGATGAAACAAACATAACATTCACTAATATTATCGGTTTAGAAAAAGCCAAACTACCTTTACCAGAATATATTACTAATAAAATATTCTCAACTAAGTGTAACTGACGCGTGAGCTGAGACCTCTGCATTTTACGCTCACAGCAAGATAATGCTACTTTTCCCTATTCTGTACTCATTTTTACACGGTTTTTGAAGTTTGTAAAATCTCTTCTATTCACAGAAAAATGTTTTGTCTTAGCGAGCAACTTATAATCTATTAGATTTGATAAAATAAAGTTTATCTAATCTGCGATGTTCAAAGTACCGCTAGTTTTGCTATGAAAGCAAAATGCAGAGAGTTCTCAACTTTCCTATCAGATGCGAACTAGCCTACAATGAAATTCAAAGACTGATGAATTGCGACCTTGTTCATATGTCACGATAAAAAGTATGATAAAATAATACCAGCTCAATTGGATAAAGAGATAAAGGATGATAATTGAGAAGAATACTTAATAAGTAATTTCAAGAATAGATTGAGATAAAAAACATTAACGAAAAGAATGAAACCGCTCGCAGCCATAAGTAGGAAAGTTCTTTTCGTTAATGTTTTTTTTATCTCAATCTATTCTTGAAATTACTTATTAAGTATTCTTCTCAATTATCATCCTTTATCTCTTTATCCAATTGAGCTGGTATTATTTTATCATACTTTTTATCGCGACATATGAACAAGGTCGCAATTCATCAGTCTTTGAATTTCATTGTAGGCTAGTTCGCATCTGATAGGAAAGTTGAGAACTCTCTGCATTTTGCTTTCATAGCAAAACTAGCGATACTTTAAACATCGCAGATTAGATAAACTTTATTTTATCAAATCTTACTTTTAAATGAAAAACTGCTAATTCTACTACACACTCCAAATTGCTCTTACTTCAAACGGATGATTATCTTCAATACGTCTCAATTCCCCATCATCCACCGCGAAACCATTTGAATAAAATCGAATGACTATTTGTTGAGCCATATTTTCTTGACTTCTAGAAATTGATGATGTAGAAAAAATTGAGCGGTGAAATGAAGTCGATTCGTCACCTAAAACAATGTCCGGATAAAAGTAAAAGGAGTTGTATTCATTGTATAATCCTATGAATTTCATTTGAGAAAGCTTACAGTAAACTCTAGCGAAAAAATAAAAAATAAGACATACCTAAAGTATAACCGGCATCTTCGAATACATCTGCATCGAATTCTTATCTACATCGAATTCTTCTTTTATTGATGACCACGTGCGAATGTGAAGGAGATGCATCTTCTTCAGACGTCACTCCTGATATTTTGTTATTTATTGAGTATACGACATTGTAATTTCACATATCTGGCTCTTAGATTCTACTTATATGTATTGAATTAAGACTTTGGTTGATTCATTCACTCTGCATTTCATTATTAAAAATAATTTGTACCGCAATCACAATTCATCATTGCTTGTTTCTATGCTACTTTATATACATCATATTAAAATAAAAATGATAATAACTGAAAACATAACTGTAAGTTTCTTCGTACACTGTGCACTCTGAAAATCTGAAAAGTGTTGAAAAAAGGAGAACAGAGTAGTGAGTAAACTGGATAAAAAATAGAGAGAGGGCTTAGATTATGATAAATTTTGAAAAACTGTTCAAGTATAAAATATCAACAGCGAGCAGAGAAAGTTGTAGCACAATTAAGAAACTAGAAAAGAGAAATGATAATCAAAATTGCGAGAGATAACGATGCAGGAAATTTATTAATAGAATCAAGAATAGAGAAAGAAAACGAACTGTCGTACAAAGTATAACAATAGTCATGTCATACGATAAATAAACTCATAGTTTGGTCGAATTTAGATTCTTCTATAAAAAATGACCAAAAGAAAGCGTAAGGGGAACTTCACGAGTGCAAATCACCAGTGAATGAATGAATAATTTCTTTATCAAAAATCTATGTCCAGAATTGCATTCCACCTAATGATAGTTAGCTAAATAATAGTTCCCAATCACGAAAGTAATTAAAATATCAGCTAATTTATCATTAGAGAAATATTCACATTTCCGTCTGTTTACGTTAATATTTCCCATCTAGAATGGCCGCCATCGAACTTAAAAAAAGATAGAATGGCAACTCTGATTCGCCACATGTGGAGTATCGCTTCGTCACAAATTTTGTTGCCGTTATATTAAACTAGTGGGAAAGAACGGTTGTCCCCTTTTTTTACTGAGAAACTGATTGTACTGAACTTTTCTGATTGAGTGATAGAAAAATTTACGATTTGGTGACTGAGAAACTCAGTTCAGTTCAGTTTCTCAGTAAAAAAAGGGATAGAACAACCGAAACAACCAGAAATGAGCATATACAATACATACCTACACACTTGCCTATAGTCGCACGTCTATCGGTGCATTTCTTCTCCAACAATATGTTAGTGTCAGATGCATTTTCACTCGACTCTGCAGACTATAATCTTTTAAAAATTACTTCATATGATCAGAAAAATTTTGCGGATAAATTATGGAAATACTCAGCAGTGCATAACTAACTCAATTTTTTAACACAGTCTGTAAGTAGTAAGTTGATTTTTGTAATGGCCGTCGTATGAAAATAAAAAGACAAAGAAAAAAGCAGAAATTTTTCAAGAAATTGCTGCCTCTAAACGACTTTCAACGAATTCAGAACTAGAAATGCTGTAGAAGACAACTAGCTGTATTATAACGCATACCTCTCTTTGTAAAACTCTTGGCATTCGAGATTTTTCTAGTGCATTTCAATTATTTTATATTTGTAGATTTGATGATTTGATCAATCAGATATCGTTTTTTTTCATACTTCACTTAGATATTTTATCCTTTGTGAGAATTGTAAAAGTTGCTGAATATTTTAATAAACAAATTAGCTTTAAACTTTCTTTTTCTCTTTTTCTTCGCCTTTGTCATTATTTAAATGGTATAAAACTTCTTATTTTGCAGACAAATATGAAACGTACGTGTCCAGTTAGTTGATTTTTTTTAGGGTAAAAGTATGATTGAGTTAAATGATGACTGAATACCTCATGGAAGATAATTCGAACTGATTGAATTCTTTTTAGGAAGCGCTTTTATCTTCTTTCTAAATATGTAGTGATAATCTGTCTTATCTATGAGCGTGCTTAGAAATTTTACTAAAAAAAAATGTCTCTATGCTGCTTCTTCTTTATCTTTTTTACTATTTTCTGTTCAATCTTAACTTTGTTTTTTCTCTTGCATTTACTTGTTTCTCTTTGTTATTCAAACTTTTAGATAAGTTTCAATTCTAACGAGTGATCATTCTTAACCTTCATCTGTTAGAAAAAAAAATCTTAGCTATTTTGATTAGTGAGAGGTATGTTATATTTGCTTTGTTTGTTCCTCTTGTGAGCTAAGATTTATAAACCATCCGTGATGCAAGAGCTGTACTCTATTACTATTTCCATTGTTTTCTCAGATATGCTATACTAAAAATATGTTTCGACCGGAAATTGGTCACTTTCCCAGTTACTTTAATCTCGAAAGGGTATTGGAGTGTTTAAAAAAATGCTTCTTCTTTGAATTCATAAAAAAGGAGATTAATATATAGTAGATCGTGTCTCGGTAGCTCAACAGAAGAGCGTGTGGTCTGTAATCACACCGTCTTGGGTTCGATTCTCTGTCGAAGCATATACTCCAAAATCAATATTACAATATATTTTCATGCTAACTAATTGTTTATTTTGTTTTATTTCAGGTCATTATGAAGGTAAACAGTCACGCTTTGTTAGATTCTTTCAACAACAAGAAAAATCGAAAGCAGATGATGAAATATATAATTTGATCGTGATAAATGTTAATGAGCGATTCTCATGAGCTTTTTAACACTGATGCTTTCTTTCATGTATTATCTAAATATTGTTCTTAGCATAGAAATTTTTTTTATTTAACTAAGATTATATAGCGTTAGAGTTTTGAAATCTATTGCATTCCGATTCTTCGAGAAAACAACAGAATTATTGTCTCTTGTTTTTTTAATGAGTGTTCTTATCTTTATTCTACCATGTATTCAATGACGATCTTGTTAACTGGCAATATGATCAGTTATTCAATTAACTGTTTTGTAATAACAGATAAATGTCCATGGTAGAAGGCTGAGTAATAATCGGTTTAATGTATTCCTTCTTTTATCGTTTAGCGTACATTTTCTAATGATGAATTTGATAAAAATGGTGATAGTGTAAGTGGTGCACAACTAAGTGATATTAGTAAAAAAGTAAATTATTTTCTTTTTTTTTATATCACATCATCTTTATGTTATATTTCTCTTATTCTTCTAGAGTCGCTCCGAGCCAGCATTACCATCCCGTGTTGTTCATTTAAGAAATATTGAAGCCACTGAACTTGAAGTTGTACAATTAGGATTACCATTTGGACGAGTGACAAATTTTCTCAATTTACGAAAAAAATCCCAGGTGAGTTTGTTGATTGTTATGTACCATATATATCTCTTACGTATCTATGTATATCTGTTGTTTTGGATAGAAGAGATGATTAAAAAGATAAAAACTAATATCATATTTTTGATGTGTCATTTGTAAAAGAAAATTTATGGAAATTTATTATTTATCTGACAAGAAGAGAACGTTAAAAACTGAAATTTGAGTACATTGATTTTTGTTTCATAAATTTCTCTGATCTCATTTGATCAAAAATATAATTTGTGCACATTAAATATCTAGAAATATTATTCATCTCATGGAAAAAGCATCATATCTGTGCAACTAGTATAATATAAGTCAAAAGTACATTTTCAGCATCGAAATAAATGAAGGAACTGAACAATGATGATAAAAAATATTGATAATTCTATTTCATTTTAAAATAGAAAAAACGCTACTTTTACTAGATTGTTGTACTTATACTTTGAAAATAAGATGTGATTTTTATTAGTTGTAATATTGCAAATATATTTGAATATATGAACAAAAGTGAGAACCTCGAAATAAAAATTGTATATGTTTTGTCCTTGTTGTTTTGTTTTTTTTCTTATAAATGATACTAGGTAGTAGTAAATAATTGATCTATGTTACGTGAAAGAAAATCGTTGGGTTTTGTCACCAATTGTGCATGTCTGTATATACGAAAAAAAAAACAACTGATTTCTTTTTATATATATTGTGTACAACGAATAAAAAAGAATAAAACCTTCAGATAAATATACATTTCACATAGACCCTTTCTTCTTATTTCTTTCTCTTAATGATATAACCCATATGTGCTCTGTATTACGAGAAAAAAATTGGTGCGTTTTTTTTTTATAACGGGATTTATTACAAACACATATATATATATTTTCTTATTCTGTACAAACCATTTTTCTTTTTCTTTCTCCATCTTCATATGTAGATAAAAGGAAATCAACGAGCAAAGACAGAAAGAACCCTCGAACTTTCTCTTGTCTCTAAGTTTTTTTTTCAAAAGTACCCTTACATAAAAAAATATGATGTGCTGCAATTTATTTAGTTTGTAGTTGGGTTATTTAGATAATAAATATACACATACACGCGAACATATACAAAAAACTATCACGTGGGGTGAGCAGATACATAAATAGATCATTATTTTTTTTATTTTTTGAATTTAAAGTTCTAACACTAGAGAAAAATATAATTCTTTTATTTACGTAACTGTATGTTGAATGTAAACACTGTTTATCTCGTTTGATTCATTCATTTTCTCTTTTTTTCTCTTTTCTTCTTGCAAGCAACAACCTGATCAAGGTTATCATCATTTATGATTTATGCATTTGAAAAACAGCTAGAAACATAACGGAAGTTAGCACTAAAAAGAGAGACGGTTTGTTTCGATATGATCTGTTGAGCAATTATTTTTTCTGATCAATATTTCTAGACAACAAAAGTTGTTTTTCATGCAATTTTTGAATGTCTTCATAAGTTTGTGAGATGTCATTGAATCAAACAACTAGCAGCAAATAGTGTGATTGTTATGACGTATATGTACCGTTATGCATAGGAAAAAATGTAAGAAATGTAATACTCTGCACATCCGTCGTATTTGTTTTACTTGATGGACAATACGAGTTTACTCGTATGTAGAAGGCGTAAGAAAAAGTTCATTTTTTTCATTTTTATACACCTTAAGTAAACGCTATATAGTTTGATACAAAAATCTTTTTTTTTCTTTTCTTTTTAGGCCTTTCTTGAATTTGATTCTTGCGATCACGCTAAAACAATGGTCGATTATTTTAATAGTGGTCCAGCCATGTTAAATGGTCGTCAAGTATTTGCTCAGTTTTCAAATCATGGTGAATTACGTACAGATCCAACAAATCGTTCAAATCAACAAGCACATATAGCATTAACACAAGCTACAGAACTCTATGAAACGGCTCAAAAAGGTGGTCCAAATTGTGTCCTAAGAATTAGTATTATCAACATGTTATTTCCAGTATCAATCGATGTTTTACATCAAGTATGTCTGAAAACAGATTAAGTGCATATTTACAAAGAATATTATTTTACTTTTGTTTAGATATTCACAAAATTTGGGAGTGTTTTGAAAATTATCACATTTACAAAAAATGGTAAGGTTTGAATAATTGTTTTTCTAAAATTAACTTTAGAACTGAATATCTAATTTATATATTTAGATAAATTTCAAGCACTTATACAAATGAAAGATCATAGTGGTGCTCAACAAGCAAAATTGGTAGGCAATAACTATTTGCTTTTAAAAAGAAAAAGACTAATCATCAGTTAATTTCTTTTATGTTGCCTTATTTCAGCAATTACACGGTCAAAATATCTACAATGGATGTTGTACACTACAGATTGAATATTCAAAACTTTATTCATTAACTGTTAAATATAACAATGATAAAAGTCGAGATTATACAAATCCAACATTACCATCGGGTGATTCACAACAAACACAATTGCAATCCAATTCAGAACAAATGGCAAATATGCTAGGTAAGATGTCAGACGATGACAAGAGTTGAGAACACTTTTTTCGACAGATGAATACGAAAGAAGGTGGGAAAATATGTAAATAGGATAATTGATGTTTTGAGGTATTCCTTGTGAATAATAAATTTTTTTCAGTTCTATGTTGAGACTCATCTGAAATTCCAGTGAGCAACGTTCGTAACCTATCGTTCAATAACCACATTCGAACGAAATGTGATTTTTCAATTTTGTGTTGAAATTACGCTGTTATTTAATTATTTCTTATTTCTCGTTTAAGATTCACGTGGTTTACATTCAAATACTAGTCTTTTATCATTAAATCGTTCTAGTTCAAATGATGATTACCGTTATGGTATGTTTGATCACAGACAAAATTGTAGGTTAAAGTTTTTATTCTGTTTTTATTTAATTTTGCGTATTTTACTTATTGGATTTGAAAAAGATCCTATCCAATGCTCCATTATATCTAAGGAGTGTAGATGGAATACTTGTACGCTAGGCTTTCAGCCACGAGACGACTGTGAATGACCATTATTTTATCGCCTGAATTGAAATGAAAAAATTATTCTTTCATTTGCTCGATCTTTAGAAATGAAAATATTTTAACATATCCTCTTAGATTTTTTAAGACAATTTATGACAAACGCATTTTTGTTCTTCATCTATACAGGTGCAAATCCACTGATAAATGCTCCACCTTCGTTTAATCCTATGCAATCTCAATATGGCCTTGGTTCAGCTCAAATGGTTTCTCATTTACAACAACAGCAACAATTACCCCCCCAACAATCAGTTCAAAACGGTCCAGTTATACTTGTTTCAAATCTAAACGAAGATGTGAGTAATAGGTAGTGATGGTGACGAGAGAAGAGAGCGAATGAAATAAAATGAATAAAATGACAGCGGGGATTCGTTTGTTTGTTATCATGTTCAAATCTGATGTGTAGTGTACCCCTATACGTTATTTCTGATTCTGTCTATATGCTTTTATTTCCGCTTTATGTTTACATTCATATTCGTTCGAAACTTCTCTCTATCTCTCTGTCTCTGTCTCTCTCTTAATCATCTTGATTTCTCTACTCTCTTTTTTCTATTTTGTATTTCCTTCTATCTAGATGGTCACGCCTGAAGCCTTGTTTACCTTATTCGGTATGTGTTTTTTGTTATATTTCTTATCTTTTTTTTCAGTTTTCACATGTAATTGTTCACGTATACATACTTTATCTTATGATGGCAATACGCTTGATGACTTCATTGTGTCCTGTTTTTCATTTTATGGAAGCGTTACTTGTCAGGATAATTGCAGCGAAACGAAAACTAACTCTTTAAAAGAAATAGAGGATTTATCCTTTCCTTTGTTGTGAGACGTTTTCTGTATAAAGTTCACCACTGGTGTGATTATAAGGAATTCAACTGTAGTCAGTTCATCTATTAAGGTTTCTGAAAATCTATCGGAAGTAAACTTTAGCTTCTTTCTTTGACGGAGATGTGTAGTACAGCGAAACCAACAAGAAACGGATTTGAAAACTAAAAAGTTGTTTATTACCATGCATATTCGTGCGTATATTTTCTAAGTATGCAGATAAACTAATCCTTTATTTACATTTCCTTGCTATTTTTCCTTCTGTTGGTTTTACATATATTCGCTACAAACGTCCTTGTTTGTCAGTGTTTAAGATAGCTTCTTAGTGAAAAGAAGTTGATCTGTAACTTCTTTTAAATTATAAATAAATAAATAATGTTAGTTATTCAGCTATTCAAGATGTTTAGCTCTCGCTCTCAAGAGTTGTGTTTTATACTAGTAAAAAATTTGTTCATATTCATTTCTAATAACGGTTTTCTGTAATTAATTATTTTGTTCAAAGGTGTCTATGGTGATGTGCATCGCGTAAAAATATTATTTAATAAGAAAGACAGCGCACTTATACAATTTGCTACACCTCAACAGGCAGCTGTGGGTAAGTTGAATATTGAAATTAAATAATTTACCTGTTTTTATTTTAATTTTTGCTTCTTTCTCTTCTAGCTCATCAACATTTGGATCATATAACGATGTTTGGTAAACAAATCAAAGTATCGTTTTCAAAACATCAGTTTGTACAAATGCCAAAAGAAGGAGGATCTGTATGTTATTAAAATTATTTTTAATATATTATTTTTCTAAAATTATTCTTGTTTTCTGTAGGATATGGGTTTAACAAAAGATTTTACAAATTCACCATTACATCGTTTCAAAAAACCTGGTTCAAAAAATTACAATAATATTTATCCTCCTGGCTCAGTACTTCATTTATCCAATATACCGTACGTGTAGTATTTCTAATAAGTTGTCACAAATCCGAAAAAAATATCTCTTTTATGTTTTTTCTTCTAGAACTGAAACCAATGAGGAAGAAATTCGTCGGATATTTTCTCAATATGGAACAATAAAACGTTTCAAATTTTTTGAAAAAGATCGAAAAATGGCGTTAATAGAAATGGATTCGATTGAAGAAGCAATTGCAGCACTTATTGTAAGTTGTTTATCTTGCCTTTTTGTTGAATTTTTTGATTAATTAAATGATTTGTTTTATTTTTTAGAATACTCATAATTATCGTTTAGCTGATAGTATGCATTTGCGCGTATCATTTTCCAAAACAAAATTGTAAATAATGTATGTGTCAACCAATCAATCTTATGTTGTTTGTCAAATTATCTCTGTATATGTGTGTGTGCATGTCGTATTTTTTTAAGTTCTAAAAACCAAACAATTTATCTTAAAAATTAACAAAAATAAAACACAACCACCGTTCTCTCACTCATATGAACTTATTGTTTCTGAATTTCACCCTCTTCTACTTGGATACCGTCTGGTTTCTTTTACACCTTCATTGGGTTTTGCTATTTTTCTTAGCACATACACTGTGCGATTCATTTTTGTTTGGTGTTCTTTGTGCAGTTGATTTTTTTTTTCTTCTTTTCTTGTATTTCTTTTCTTCTAGCAACGATTTTTGCTAGAAAGACCTTTTTTGTTTTTATGTTTATTTGTTTTTTGTATGATGTTCTTCCACAAAAAAAAACATAATGGTTGTTAATAATTTAAAAAAAATAATCACTAGGCATTCAATGAAATGAGAGAGACAAATCACATTGATACGATGGTCATGTTATGCCATTTTGTATCAGCTTTCAAGAAAATTTCGATTATTATCAGCTCCCCAGATTCAAAAATTGTAGCACGTTGCTAAACTATGGAAAGTGTTATGCAGCGTGATACTAGCTGTTCTTCTTTACACTTTTGTTTCTATACTATGTTTACCTTTTTGTGCACTATCACTGAATTATACTACCGAATTTCGAACATACTATATAATTCGATAATTACAGTTTCAAATCGCAAATGACTCAGATTCCAGTACGATAAAACTATTCAGAAATAAAAACAAAAATATCTTTGATTTTCGTATTAGAACAAGAATCTTCCTCAGGTGATACCATTATCACAGCTCATTTTACCTTATGCATTAGCCTTTTAGAACAGATTTAAATGTCAGCTAACTTTTCTATTCTTGAACAAAGTGATTTCATGAAATACTTTAACATGAAAGACAGTTATATGTTGAATCTTTTTGTAAACTTGTTGATAATAATACAATGAGTGAAACAGTCAATAAAATCTGATGGCTTTTGAATTTGAAATCCCGATAGACTATCAGCCACACCCTCCGAGTCACCAAAAGGCTTTTAGGAGTCATTGCATGAGAGAAACAACAAATTATGCTCAATCGATGTCTGAGATTGCTTCTAACTAGTTCTATCTTGTGCAGCATGTGTGAAAACCAATAAATCCGAATTTTGAGCCTTCTACGATTTTTACTTTCTGAGTTCTGAATGGTTTTCTAGAGTCTGCTTGATGAAAAATTCAGCGTCCAAAAAATGGAGTACAAAAATAAAGATACTGTTTCTCCGCCAAGACAAGTGATGGAAGGGGGATTTTTTCAACCTATGTAGCCCATTGCACGATCTATCCGATAATGCGATAAGATCGTTTTTACCTCGAACCTTCAGTCCGACACCGAAGGTTTTCTGAGGATCTGATGGGGTTGTTTGACGCCGTTCACGAGCCTGTGGCTTAAGTATAAAACGAGGTGCACTTTTCATAGACATTCAAGTGTGGACTGTCTGAATCTGATCTCAAAAGTTTGGCGTCTTGTAAGGATCTCTAGAAAACCTTTGGGGGACTTCCGGGAACCCTTAAGTTTACCAAAAATATTTTTAAACTACATAATTAGAAATAGAACAAAATGTCGTATTGCTCATATTTTTAGCAATTACTTTAAAAAGGTGAGAAAATAACATATTTTTAAGCAAAAATAGTTTATTATAAAAACCTGATTTTTAGTTTGTCGAATTTGTCGCTTAGAAAAACTGAAAAACTATGAGTTTTTACTCATTTTGTTCAGGATTTTGTGCTCTTTACAATTAAGTAAATTAAAAATATTTTTCGTAAACTTAAGGGGTCCTGGCGGTGAAACAGTATCCGGATTTTTGCTCTCCATTTTTTGGACTCTAAATTTTTCCACACATGCTGAACAAGATAACACTAGTTAGAAGAAAATCTCAGACACCGTTTGAGCATGGTATAGTAATCTGTCGTTTTTCTTGTGTTCTTAGGGGGTCAATGTTGCAAAGAGAGTGAGTACATGAGTGCATAGGATAAATTTCAATGTGTGATGTGGTCAATTATACTATGACGATCATTAATCACATTTCGATTCAGAATTCTATTCAGCGGCTTATTTCTGATTTTAGAAACTCTGACAAACTTTATACCGTCGACCTTCGTCTCATCTTTGCTCTCTAGATGTCTCGGTTCATAATTTATCAGAGAATCTAACGGTTACTTTGTACTAGGTGCACTTTCGAATTGTAAAAGCGATCCCATCGGTTGATAGATTCTGATTATTGTCGACAGTTCTGCATTTCTACCTCTCATGTACTTTCACAACGTGAAACCACTACCAGTCGGACCCATAAAAGGAAACTGAAGAAAGAAGCAAAAACAAGGTTCGCTTCATTTGATATGATTTTGCATGGATGTTCTTTTATTACGTGTGATATCTTTATTGAAAAAAAGTAATAAATCATAAACTAAAAGGTAAATACATTAACTTCGTAATTTTAACAATGTCAAATATTCTTGTCCATAATTTTCGGCTAAACGATCAATATCACGAACGTGTTTATTTAAAAATTTTGCTCCACTTGTTTTTGTTCTTGTTTCGGTTTTTATTAATGATCGTGTTTGGTTAATATCACAAAGACTAATTATTTGCCAGTCCGTTGTGTTCTGAGTTCGATTTAACAAATTTGGCTCCTTAAACAAGAAAATGTAGTCTGATGTAGTATGACAAGATTTCGAGATCACGCTATAACATCCCATTTCGTGATAAATAGTATATTTTGATGGGTAATCTGAGGTCAATCGATGCTGTTTCATTCCTAAACGTTTACCTTCCAATGTTTTGTTTCCTGGAAAAATGAATCTTCATCTATTGATGTTGATGGTAGAGATTCTTTCATTGAATATTCACTCAGCAGTGTAATGTTCGTTGATGATATGAATGATGATGTTAAAAACTGTTTTCGTTTTACTCGTGTGGTGAGTGATGGTGTTCGTTCAAAACTTCGATTTGTACACATCTGAACACGTTTTAATAAACGTTCACAACTGTTTTGCGTAGGTAATGTGGGAGTACGAGAAGGCATTTTTTTAAATTGTAGAGAGAATAAACTATACTGACATACAAAAATCCAAAAACATATGGTTTATATAGTAAAAAGATAAGCCGACATTTTTTTGATTAATTAATCATCACATATTTGTTAATTGATGATCAGTCAAGATTGCATCTTTTTAACAAAGCTGGTGCACGATTAGTGATAAAAAGAAAATGATTGCTTATCGATTACTGGTCAGCTAGTATGTATGATTCCAGGGGACACCCGAATTTTTATTTGAATTCATCAATTTTTTAATTCAAGTACATAGTTAATCAAGAGGATTTTTAGAACCAGGAAACAGCTGTCAACCAGAACCAACAATCTATGTATCTGAGTGGACGAGATTTGGATCTCTATAAAAAACGTGCTACATTTTCCCGTAGATAACAGTGTAATAACTCATTTCTGTGTGAGAACTGCCTCAGTCTCTACGATCAACGAAGATTCATCTTCCTCAGACATAAAATTGCAAGGTAAATGTATAATGACGAACAGGGAGGTTCCATCAAAATATTTCAAGATCTTTCCTAAATTGAATGCTGTTTCATGAAAAACTGTCGTGGTGAGGTGTCTCAGAGATGCCTCATTTGGTCGCTATTTGCTCTATACGAAACAGTTATTTGTAAAAAATTTGTCAGTGGAATTCGGACAAGCGTTTGTCTAAGATTTTGCTTTACGATAGACGCTCGCTTCAGATATTTCGATGGAATCTTTATATACACCTACGAGATTGAAATCTCTTTTAGCTGTTCAAATCTTTTTTCAGTTTTGTTCTGGGTCTTATGATTGAAGAGAAAAACTAAAAATAAAGGTGAACGAATAATTTTTCGAGCCACTGTATGTTATCGTTCATAGTACGGAGAACTATATGTTGAGAAAAACGTGAGAAAAAAGTTTGGAATCTTGTAGCTTTTCTCGTTGTTATGCGCTCACAATGACAAGACCGTCGTTCACGTAAGGGTACTCATATCACCGGAACAAAAAAAATAAAGTTGGTTTAGAGTTGCTGAAAAGTGCTTTTTCGTATTCATCACACTCGATAACCCAGAAGATTTTCTATTTTTGGCCCGGAATACTTCCGAAAGTTTAAGAAAAATTTTGAAACAAAATGGCGCAAAAAGTTTTCCATGGAAAAATAATATTAATTTGAAAACTTTTCCTAAACTTTCGGAAGTACCTCGGGCCAAAAACAGAAAATCTTCTGGGTTATCGAGTGTGCTGAATACGAAAAACCACTTTTCAGCAACTCTAAACCAACTTTATTTTTTTTCCGGTGATATGAATAGTGCCAAATGTTAGAAAATTCTACTGAACATCTAATGTAAAATTAAGACAATGTGTCAGCTGAACCACAAAAGTGTGAAGATGTAGGACGCTTTTTTAAAGAATACATATATCAATGAAAATATATGAAATGAATCTGAAGTTTCCTTAAGAAAAAGCACTTCTAAACTTGAAACTATTTAGCATATCACCGACAGACAAATAAGGGTCATATGTCTTGCTCAAAATAGAAAATCCTCTAGATTTATCGCGTGTGCTGAATACGAAAAAGCTCTTTTCCGCAACTCCGCATGAACTTTATTTTTTTCTCCACGTTGGTATATGTTTTTATACGGACCGCTTAGTGTCTGATTAATTGTCTCATTCTTTAGATCATTCACTAATGATTGTAATCTAAAATGCTACGATCGTTGCTCATGATCGTTGGTTACTGTGTCATAGTATGAGAGAATGCTTGAAATTTGAAGGTGTGGTACTACTCTAGAAAAAATTTTCCGAGGTGACACTGCATACTGTGTGTTTGAGACTCAAAGCAGTACAAATACAACAAACGTTCAAATGGAAATGAAAACTGTCGGAGATAAATAAGTTTTTTATTTCAGTAATAGTGACATATTAAAAAAGTAAAGCTGAATTCATTGATCGTCGATGAAGAGTAGCGAGCGACACCCTTTTGAATAACACCACTCATTAAGTTTTTCTTAAAAATTGCACAAATGTTGTTTAGTCTTTAGATTTCGTTATATCCGGTTTCTAAAATCGAAAACACTTTAATTTTCTTATATTTATGTTTTTGCATCAGCCATTGTTTGATCTCTTTTTATATCCGTTTTTATTGTAACCTATCCATCCATTCTTTGTCTGAATGTGCTTAGTTTGTTCGTTCTTTCAATTATTCTAATTACAGTTATTATCACTGATATATACATTTTCTGTGAATGTTCCTTAATTATGATTATTATTTATCCTATCCTAGTATATCCACAGCGCTAAATTGAAACGTGTACGTATCGAACATGTGGGCTTTGATTTCGACAATTGAAAAGGTTCGTATGAGAACTTGTAAAGTTGGATACTCAGTGTCTTTTACTTATAGTGATTTAAATGAATATAAGAAAATGATGGTTTTCAGTTTGCCTAGTAAGAAATTAAATCATAGTAAAATTCGTTTACTTTGCTCGAAGATGCAAAATAGATCTATTAGAAATTTCCATCAGTCAACCTTTGAAAGATAATCTTCATCCTGGAGTCTTCGAACTTCACATCGAGTCAATTTAGGCTTTAGTTTTTTTTAAGCAGAGAGAAGATTTATGAACTAATGATTTACAACTATTTCTTATAAACATATACAATATCTAATGTGCTTAAACCCTAGAATAAAAATCTTAAGGCATTTTTCTCCGAACGTCGGCGAAAAGATAACTTATATGCCGTATCAATCATTAACTAACTTGTCAATCTTGACGGTTTTTAAGATACTTATAATTGTTGTAAACGTTTTGATTCTTTTCCATTTCTTTGATTTTCCCATCACACAATTTCTCCAATAAAACGTTTATGTCTTACACGAACAATTTCTACAACAGAAACATCAAAAAGTACAGAATCATCTCCAAAAGGAAACAAAGTGAATAATTTATCCATGTTATCCTTGAGTTTTACAAATTATTAGACGTTTTTCTGCTATTGTGAGTACGAGTAACAAAAAAACAAGTAGAACTGCGAATTGTTAAGAGAGTCAAGAATAACTTTATAACCTTTTTTTAAGGGGAAAAGAACGTCTACATGATTTTGTTTATTTTAGAAACTTGAACCTGGCAAATGGTGAAGATAGTAGTCGTGAGCATGCTGCACTTGAACCAAGATATTTAGAAGGGCGAGCAGTTATTCTTAAAAGTTTTGCTCGTATTCATGGTAAGTTTCCATTGTTACCATATTAAAAACTTAATTATAATATAAAATAAATAAGTCAAATATAATAGAAAAGTCCCTTTTCGTTTTTTTCCGAGAACAAATCTTAAAAAATAAAGTTTATTAGCGTTAACATTTGATAAACGAGACGATTATAATAAAATTAAACTGGATGATAAAATATCAATACTTAACTTAGATAAATTAACACCAGGAGAAGTGGATTGATACCACTTCTTTTCCATTTCGTCTATAAAAGTATATTATTGTTTTATTTTTCTATTTTAGCCTGTCATCAAACATGCTGATGTTAAAACGGAGACAATAAAATTAAATCATACATTTAGTGAAGCATAAATCGAATTTGTTTCAAAAGTGAAAGTGCTTTGAATGCAATGGACGTATTTTTCCTTGAAGGAGATCGAAAAGTACAAAAACAACAAAACCATGCATAGAAACAGTAAAGATCTGAGAGCAGTGTCGAATTAGTTACTTGTTACTTTTCTGTGTTATTCATTTGTTTCTCTCTATCTCATATCTGCCTAATGGTGACAAGGCATACACCTACCTCCTTGTAGCTGTATTTTTCATTTTCATCATTGTAAATTTTTACAAGTTCTTTTATAAAATGTTGTTACTACCGCATTCTTTCTGTTTCTAAACTTCTTGTTTTTGTTGTTTACTAAGATCAGAATAAAATGTCAGGTCATAGTTTTTGTACGTGATATATCGAGAAATCTGAGTCTCCGGTTAAAAACAGTAAATAAAAGATTATTGCACACTGATGTTTCTTATTTTGCGTAACATGGTAACATGATGTAAAATGTAATTAATGCACATTGTGTATTTTTTCTCTTTTATATATTTTTTTATTAAAAAGTGAATTATGTTCGCGCCGTCGCCTATTCGATCTCCATTGAAAAGTAAACAATTACAGCAATCACAATTAACAAAATATTTTGCGTCGGTCAATGACAAAGAATTATCGTCATCACTTACATTCTGCGATGAAACTAGTGAACAAACCACAGATAATACTACTAGTATGTATTTTGTCATTAATTTTATGATGGTGTACCATTCATTATTTCTTATTTAAGCTTTGGATAATTCAATAACAACAACAACAACAACGACAGACGAAGAGCAAAGCTATACGGACAATAATACTAGTGATAATATGATAACAGATGAAAATTGTTCACCAGATCAAACATCAACACTGAATGATACATTAACAACACCTAAAGGAAATAAAATTAAAAAGCGATTAGATGTAGATGAAGAAGATTCAGCATATAAACAACGTCTTCGAAAGGTAAAAGACAGTATAAATATAATACTGACGTATCTTCACTTATTTATCTTTCTTTCAGATGCCACGAAAAATGTATAATGATGATGGTGGCCTTAAACAAACCATAATTGTAAGTATACACACAGACACTTCCATTTTGAACAAGCTTTAGTAGTCTTTCTCTTTTAGGATGCTGGACAAAAAAGTATAGATTGTATTGTATGTCGTAAATGTGGCATGAGTTATTTTCCTCATAGTGTCGAGGATCGTGCGTTACATGATAAATTTCATGATCTACAAACATCCGCCTTAAAATTTAAAGTAGGTCTACGTCATTGAAAATACAGTTTTATTCTATGTTTCTATATGTTTAGACGATTCTTAAACGTGAGCAAATTTGTCAACAATTTTTAGATGGAAATATTTATGTGATTGGTTGTACATCATCGGTTCACGAACGTAATAAAGCAGAAAATATTCGAAAATTTATTGATACTGAACTTGGTATAACAACACCATTTAATTGTGTTTGGCCAGAAACAAAAGTAAATTAAAAACAAAAAAATTATTTAAATAAATACAAAAATCTAAAGTACTATTTGTGCTTTTCCTAGGCTTACTTTTATGTTGAAGATCGCACAGATCTTGTTATTGGTTATTGTTTAGCACAAATTATTCATCGAGTATGTAATGTAAACTGAATATTTATTTCAAATAAATTGCATTTGTCGTTGTTATTTGAGGCTCACATTGTTGATGCTGACTGTGATCATTTGAATACACAAAATGAAATACAAAAAATGTTTTGTGGTATTGCAAGAATTTGGGTAGGTTACCACAGAAACGTGTTTTGTATTTAGAATTCTATTGAGTTTCGATCTTTTCAGGTACATAAAGATCATCGACGTAGTCGAGTTGCTACAAAACTTCTCAATTGTGCTAGGTAAGAGTGTTTATTTACTTCAATCGTCAGTTTATTGATTCTAATCAAATGGCTTAGAGGGAAAAGAATCATGTCTCCTGATAACCATCACATTTTTGTTGTTCCTAATGAGAGAAATCTTGAAAAAAATGTTAAACATGATGTCTGTCTCATTATATGAACTGTTTTCTATGTAATCTAATATCTTTTTTTAGAATTAATTTTTTCTTTGGTATTACAATGAAACGGACGGATATTGCCTTTTCATCACCAACCGATGATGGTAAAATACTTGCCAAAAATTATACAAAGTCAAATCGATTATTTATTTATTAATACAGATATATATCACGTTTTGAGTATGTTTGTGTGCATTGTCAGATAAAATCAGTAGTAAATGAAAAAAAGTTAGATATTTTTACTAGATGTTATGTGTATATTTTTTTTGTTGTATTCAATATGTGAACATAGATTACATGACAATTGACCACCGTTTGTCATAGGGAGATTAATCAAGAAGAGAGTGCTACTTGTGTTCGAAAATGAATCACAAATCGATAGTAATTTACTACTAAAGTTCCCTCAACATTGCTGAACACTATCTCTGGAAAACCAAGTACCCGAATTCCGATTGGAAACTTTTTTTAAATAAGTTAGTTGAATAGAGAAAACATTTCTGGAGCAAAATGAATCGCCTTAATTCTTCATCAAACTACATACAATTCGCGAAATGCCCCAGATAGAGACGTACCCATCACTGAGCTAAGGCTCTTTGAAATTTCTATTTTTTAATTCGCGCTGGAAAAAATTGATTGAAATCGAAAATAAATGAGTGGCGTATATGAGCAGCGATTTTCGTATGAATTCAATAGCTAACGCAGTGGTTTTTGTGTGATTTTCGAAAAAAAAGCTAAAACTCTCAGCTCAGCAAGAAAATTTAGAAAACAGCGGGGCGTGAAAGATATTTGATTTGCTCTTTACCGAAATCCTGAACACGTTACTGACCCCAAACCGTCAAAACTAGAACAATCGATAGAAAAACAGCAAAAAGTGCCTTGGCAATTTCGAGTTTATAATTAGTTTGAAAACTAATTCTATTACTAATTCCAATCTCTTCGGGTATAGGTACAAACTGAGAAATTTCTCCACTACCAAACAGTCTAGATTTAGAATCTTTAACGTTTTTATTTACAGATTTATTAAAATTATTATCGAAATTTAAAAGCACTTTCTGCTGTTTTTTCTAGTTTTGACAGTTTGGGGCCAGTAGGGCACCCGGGATTTCGGTAAAGGGTGGATTCAATGCCTTTTAGTTAGTTTATCTGTAGTTAATATGTATTTATTATAGATGAAAGAAAACGAAAAAAAGAAAAAGTACATGAATGCAGCAGAGAAAGCCAGAAGTCACCGAAGTAATACCTTTTACTCCCCACTATTCAGAGCTAAAATAGTTTTTTTTTGACTCGAATATAATGAATTTTTCCTATATATTTTTTGTTCAAATCTTTCTCATTCGTGCAAAATAGTCGTCCATATTCCGATTTTCATCAACTCATGTAGTTATTTGAAGGTTACCTTTAATCAATGATTTAGCCAACGGAATATAACCGATTGTTTCATTATCTCTGTGCGAGGCGCTTAGAAATTGACTGTAATCAATCTAGATAATTCGCCAATATTAAATATTAATTGATGGCATTGATATTTTGTGGCTAATGAACATTATTGTATCTAATGCAACATGTATGGCTTTTTGAAAATTGAAAATATTTTCATTACGAAATTGTATTGTTACACATTCAAAAATGAAAACAATATAAACTATTATTGTCCATAATGAAGAAAAGTACACCAACGGATACCGATTCACTTCGTATAAAAGAAGTATGCTAATTTTATTCACCAACGTCATTTATGAATAACTGATAAATTTGTGATATATAGAACAGAAGACCAAATTTTCCAATTTAACAGCAATTTAAATTTTTTTCTACCTTATTCTTTTATTCAAAATAAATTAAGAGCATTGAAAAAAAAAACGAAATTGATAATGCCCTAAAAAACAGAACAACAATATTAAAAAGAAATGAAAATAACAACAATAAAAAGAATAAGAAAAATAGGATAGAAATTTTCAATGATAACAGAAAATGATGATTGTACAAATGAAAAATAGACTTAGAAAAGTAAAATCACTGTGTATTTGAATCTAACTTTTTTTTTGTCTAATTAGCACCGTTAAAATGAGAAGTCATAATCATAATTAGGTATTTAATGGATTTGGCATAGCTGGATTTTGAAGAAAATTCATGCGATGTTTTTGAGAACGAGTATCTAACACCTAAAAACAGATTGAAAATAATAACACAACTACCGATGACAAGTGAGTGTACAACTACCATTTTTTGTAATTCAGCTAATTCCATTGATAAAGTTTTGATGGCTTTATTAGCATCATCCATTTGATTTTTTAACATTCGATTTTCTATATCTTCTTTTTTATCATCTTGCATATCCAATGACATTGTACGCATACGTGGAAACCAGTCGAGATTACGTTGCTAAAAGTGGACACATCTTATATTTACAGACAACTTTTTGTAACTGTACACATAACATACTTCAATCATTTCATGTACATATGACTCTGGTCCTGTATATTCAGTTGGATCTTTAACTTTAATTAAAACCATAAAATAGACATAATTCCACATATTATGAACTTTTCGAATATGATCTTCAAATGTTACATGTTTATTATCGAATGATTTACGATCAAGACCTACAATTAAGATAATAAGATTTAACTCTATTTAATAGTAATAGACTATACATACTGCATATGAAACATGTATTTCGTAATATTTCATCATTTCGTTGTTTTTCCGTTCTTAAATCCGCAAAATTATCGATAATAACACCAAATATCAAGTTTAATGTGATGATAATAACAATAAAAAAGAACATCATATCATAGATGACACGAAAAAAATATAATGGTTCCTAAAATAAAAGTGAATACTTTTTTTCACAATAATGGCAGAACTCACCATCCTTCTACCTGACTTGAAGGTTGCCTCAGTACATCTCCAATTCCTCCTCCATTTCTAAGACCTTTGTTTAATGTTGTTACAATACACATAAATAGAGTATCACACGACCTTTCAACGTCGTCTTCTACATCTTCAATCGATGTATTCGTTAAAACGCCTTTAAGTAAACAAAACAAATAACAGTCGAACTTATAGATAAATTTAAGAAAAAATCGAGACATACTTAAAGTATCATTAACACAATTATCCTTTGTGCAATATTGATGTAAAACATTTGGAATGCTCGAAGCTAAACGAAAAGCAAAATTTATCAATTTTGTATCACAATAGGAAAAAGACATTAAGACAACAGTAGTTGTACAATGACACAACTTGACATAAATAATTGTAACCTGTTTATATGCTCGAATTACACATTTAACCTAAATAATTGACATTAATTGTCCCGAGATCTTTTTAGCTGTGACGGGGAGAAAAGTATAATGATAGATAACTGAATATGCCATTTAGTCCTTTACTACGTTTACTCTTTTTAGTCAGTTTATATAACACAAATTGCGATCAATCATACGTTAACGATATAAAGACTAATTGAGAGTAAAATACTGAAAAAACACTAAATGTATTACAGGAATAAAATAGTAAAATGATAAGACAGACAGTACTCATAATGGTGTGAAGTGTAGTAATGGTGTGTTGGATTTTAGAAATGAAAAAACAGGTAGCCTATTATGGAAGCCAAAAAGACATCGGAGCAAATTCTGGACAATTCTCCAGTTCTCAAACAATACGATTTAAACTAGTTTAAAATATTATTCTATACACAAGACAACAACATCTAAGACAACATTCATGATATTTAGACATACACATTGTTGATCTATGGTGATGATGTAAAAATGATGCACTATGTCTTTTAAATGTTCTCGCTCGTATATGTGTTAGAAAATCATCACGAAAAAAGACAAAACCAAGTAATGAAAATAAATAGATTAATATCAGAGCAAGCATCATTGTCAATAATATCGATTTTCCATTACGTGTAACGGATTGTGTCACTTGCAATAACGTTGAATCACGAAATATTATATCTAATAACTGTGAATACAACAAACGAAAAACAAAGTCACAATTTTTTTTTTACACACTTGAATTTTGAGACGCATGAGTAGAATTAGTCATTTTTTATTTTGATTACTTACACAATGTGCTTGTGGTATTAAGTAGAGTGGTAGAAATATCTGTCGATGTCAGGGTAGTGGTAGAAGAAGATATAGTCGTGGCCGCTAATAGATTGGAGCTATTTTTAGGAGCAACTTCCATAAGAAAATCATCTTGTATGAATAGATAGCCACATATAGCAAATAAATAAATGATAATAACAGCGAACACAGCAGTTAATATAACAGATTTTGCATTGCGTACAACACACTGAATAACATTCCATAATGTATCCTCACGATAGACAACATCAAGCAACTAAAACATACAAACAACATAAAACAGAAAACCATATTACAAAAAATTTACTAAGACAAAATATGTAGTAACTCACGAAGGAATCGTCCTAGGTGAACCACCGAGATTTAACCAAAAAATAAACTTTTTCATGGATTATTTTTGATGCTGATTACGAATCTGATATTCATTTCAGCCCATATGGCTTTGCAGAAACCAGGTCTTTAGAGATCCATCCTGAATAGTTGGACCAATAGAATCTGATATGGTCAGTTTGTAGAGCAAGCTAAATTACACAGGTACACAAGTTTTTACACATACCGAACAAGTTTTCTAAGAGATATAAAACTTTTTTACGTTCATCACTCGTGAAAATTATAGAAATGGTAGTTTTTCTTACATTAATAATTTTATATCTCTCAGAGAACTTGTTCGGTATGTGTACCTGTGTAACTTGACTTGCTCTATAAACTGATTATATCAGATTCTCTTGGTTCAATTATTCAGGATGGATCTCCAGAGACCTGGTTTCTGCAAATTCATACTGACAAGTCATATGGGCTGAAATGAATATCAGATTCGTGATCAGCATAAAAAATAATTCATGAAAAAGTTTATTTTAGTTAAATCTCGGTGGATCACTTGGGACAGTACCCTCGTCAGACAATTAATACTTTTGAAATCTAGGCGTAAAAGATAGTTATCTCGTTAGTACAAAAGATTAACTATTCTATTCATTGCATAGCCGTTATCACATGGATGAGAAAATATTCACGGACAGTACAAATATTAGAAACGAAAGCCATACAAAAATTTATGAACATTGCAAGTATACATAGCAAATTCAGAATAGATTATTTGATAAAGTTAATAAAATATTCAGTAACATACCAGTAGACTATAAAAGAATTCATGTCCACATAAACCGAGTACACATAAAAGAAGATATCCGACATGATAAACAAGTTCAAAATTTGTTAAATTTTCATAACGCGACCTGGAAAATGTCCCATTATTACCCATAAAACTAACTAAAAATACGCCTTTATTCAATACCTAAAACAAGTAAAAATGATGTTTTCTTTTTTAATTTGATTCGCTTCGTAACTACTTACATTTATAGCTCCCATTAACCACAGAGTTGGTCCCAGTCCAACAGAATAGATTGATCTTAGAATTCCAGCAACAAAAAACATTCTCATTGAACCCACACTAGGTTTCATTACTATGGCGATTAATGTTAATAAAAGAGCACTCCAAATAGCAGCTGATGCACGAGGATCGAGTTCTAAACACAATAAATATTGTCATTTGATGTTAGATTCAAAAATGGATACTTTACATATACCTTTCAATCCTTTATTGAATGGATAAAAAACTGCTACAAGAATATTAATCAATACGGCAAAATTAAATGATATATCACTCCATAGACTCATATGCGAACTAAACCAGTATAATGTGGGTTGATGTCGAAGTTTTCGTTGCCATTTCATTTCTTCAAATATTTCGGGAAATTTTTCAAAAAAATCTTTAACTTTTGACCCTTGTTCATCTTGATCACATGTTAAAAAAACTTTTTGTTTTTTTTCAACCGTTAAAAATTCACATAATTGGGGAACCGGAAATACGACTAGGAAAGAGAAAAAAAAGAACATCAATACATGAAAATTGTGTAAATGACAGTTATACTTGGCTCAATCGATCGATCTTGGCGAATGATTTCAATTTCAGCTGTATGTTTATGATAGTAGGATAAAGCTTCGTCGTTCATTGTACGATGACGCATTAACACTTCTAATTCTCGATTATGACGAGCAAGCTAAAGACGAAAATAAAGTGTATCATATTTCGGTATATGCCAGTTGACTTTTAGTTTCTTCCGCCAACAAATTCAAAATGAATATTACGAAGTGAGCACATGCTAATTTGTTAGATTTTATTTTTACACTTTCCTCTTACAACTAATGACATAAATGATAGTCATTTATGCAAGTTAAAAGCTGAATGTTTCATTAGAATGATAAATATTCCATGAATCAATCCCTTTTGATACTATTTAACAAGCACACTCGGCTATAAATTATTTCAAGTTTATTTTAATTACATATCAATCATCTTACAGGGTCTACTCTCAGTTCGTCCCAAATTGCTCACTCTCACACTTGCTCGCCCCTTCGATGTTGTTTGATCTTACAAAGCCAATTTGGGACGAACTGAGAGGACACCATCTTACAGGCATCAGTTTTCTTTATACTTTCCCTTTATGTCCTATTAGAAAATGGCTGATCATGCAGCTCAAAAGCACTCTGGTATCTTTTTTTGATTATTTCAAAATCCTTCACGTATAATCGAAACTGCAGACACTAATCAACGTTTCAGTACTTCTCCATTGTCTCTTATTGGATAGAGAGATCAAACAAATTCACCAGTTTAGGTTTAAAAATATCACCAAAAAAAAACCCTAAGCAGGAAAGGTAATTGAGAGAGATATGCTAATTTGCCTCTTCCATGAGCAATAGTTTGAAGAAAATACTCGTCGTGTACCTTTTCATGTTTATCATGTTTATCATGTTTGGATTTGATTGATAAATGTAAACAGAAAGAAGGGAACAAGTTGAAGGAAATTTCGCATTAGACACACCAAAATCAGATAGACTTACTCACAAATGTTCACTAACCTGATATGCTAATATGTACATATTGTGTCCGACAGTTTGACCAACATTATCGGCATTATCTGCATCTTCATCATGCATTTCATCCGATGAACTTGTACCACCTTCTTCAATAGCTTTTTCTTTCAAATCAAGTTCTTCTTCTTTACCACGTGAATATATCTCACAAGCAACATCAAGCTAAAACATAAAAAGTAAATAATTCGTAGATGAATATTAGAGTTAATTAATTTTTACTTACCAGTTGTGAAACGGGTACAATATTTCTTAATATTCTCTCTGCATTTGTGCTATCATCACGACTTTCCATAACAGCTAATAATAATTTAGAGGCATTATCCTACAATAACATCCGATAAAGCAAAAAATGTTAATTGAAATATAGACAGGTGTAAACTCACTTTCAATTCTAATACAAGATCATAATTTTTTTGATTTAACGGGCTAATATCATTTAATACAATCGCTATAATGATGTCAATACCATTTGATTCATGATTAACAATGGCATCCTTAATAGAAAGAAGATAAAATTAGTTTTATGTACAAACATAAAATTATACATGTGTCTCTCACTTGATTATCGTGACATGGTCCCTGACAATATTCCGTTAGTGTATTTAATGCTTGATTAATTAATTCTACATTATCTTCATTTATATAATTACCTAACAGACCTAATAGTCCAGTTTGCGAACCACAAATCGCATCAAGAAATTTCAATGTTTCACATACTAAATTAAAACTGGTCTTATTCTCTTGTACACGTAAATAATTCTGAAATAAAAACAAAACAAATTGAATAAAAATTTATTCTATTTCAAAAGTAATATTACTTGAAATTCTGCATTATGATTTTCACATAAGAGTTGTAAAAATCTTAATATTGGCTGCATAATTCGTACTTCAAACGGTAATTTGTATCGACGATTATCTTTTTGGAGAATCGGAGAACTAGAATACAAAAAAATAGAATTAATAGTTATTAAAGTGTAACACAATCAAACCACATTGATACTTACGAAAAATCGAATATATCATAGGTGCCAGACATATTCGCTTTATTTATTGAGTCATCTATCGAGTGAGCAATTAAAATTTTTGGATCACCAATAGGCGCATCAACACTAAATGCACTTGCATTAGCTAAAGTAAACAGAGAAAGAATCATCAAATTGGTATTGATTCCTACAAGACCTGCTGCATACCTGTTCCGTTTGTTAAAGATATTTCATTTGTGGTTGTTCCGGGCATCTGTTCGTGTTCCAAATTTTGAGCGGATAATGATTGTCTGATGGAAATTGGTGAATTTCCAACAATTGGACTTGGAATAATGGGTGTCAAAGATTTATATGGTGAATAGACAACGCCATCATCCTGATCAACTTGTTCGGCAGCCATATCATTTGATACCGATGGCATACCTTTTAAAGTTTTTTCAGCAATACACATTTTATCATAAAATACTTTAAAAAACTTCTCCGATGCAGAATCGGTATTGTGTAAATGACGAAATATACTCAACTAAAATGAAATAAGAGTAGAAGAATACTTAAAAATACATTAGCATTTTTTATTTAGCTGCGACGATTGACACAACCTACTTGAACTTCCGTATTGCCTCCTTCTAATAATGCAATACCCAAATTGACACTTTCTTCCAAAACATTCACTGATGCTTTGCTCATAAATAATTCAACCACTAAATCACTCGCACCTTGTTTATTCAATTCATTTTGAGTAGCACGTAAGCGTTCGATAGCATCTTCCTCTGATAAAACAAAATAATTGCTTCTATGATGAAAACAATCAGTCAAAAAAGAATAGTACAGCCACATAACATATCGAAGTGTGACTGTGATTAGACTTTATGGAAATCTAGTGAGTATAGAGCTTACGGTCTAAGAGACTCCTGCATGTTAAAGCTGCCATATGTACTCATTTACAAAATCATACAAAACCGTTGTATGGCTTTTTCTTTTAAGAGCCATTGCACGTAAGTCGCGACCGACGTTCTTCAAACAATGTACTCAAAACTCTTTCAAACCAGGGAGCTCTTTTAGACCAAACATTCTGATGGATTTTGGCAAAAGGCGCAGGTCAAAAACTTGTATGGTTGCTGAGATATTGAAATTTTACGAAAAGTCCCGAAAAACGCCGATTCCGCCATCTTAAAAACTTGCGTACTTTAAACTCTTGTAACTCAGTAACGACAGATTACTTAGCCTTGGAGATTTTACCATAAATAGTGGATAGTGTCTACTACAAAATCACGCAACCGCGAGCACACAAAATGCTTTCCTTATTTTGTAATAGATCGCGCACCAAGGGCCCAAATCCAGAAAACCTGAAATTTTCCTGTAGTATCCAGAAACGAAATCGACCGTGAGACTTTCAATCATATTTCCAAATAGATTATGTGCCAAAGCGTATTTAGTAAAAGTTTGACGGTCTCAGGTGCTTTCGTTTTCAATACAGACGATTTGAAAGTTGCAATTTTGCCCAAATATGATCGTTTTGAGGAATCATTTTCTCCACGGAAACGAGATCATTCTGCAGCCTCCTAGAATATTGTTGGAGTACACCATGTGTGCTATCATAGCCCATGCTGCGATTTGTGGGTGTCGCTGAAATGGCTTCGGGGACTCGGTTGGGTGGACCGAGTTCTAGAGGCTTGTTCTAATCAGTGTATTTCTGTTACAGTATATTAAAATTTCATAAAAACCAGTTCGATATGCAACTTTTCGGAAGCGATTCAATGGTAATACAACAACAAGTTGATTCTACTATTAATACGGTCCTATGTGCGAGTT